GGCAACGCCGTTAGTGCCTGTAAAAAAAGCTAATGGTCAACTACGCCTGTGCGCTGATTTTCGAGTGTCTCTAAATCCCTGGGTCGTAGAAGTTAAATATCCTTTACCGAGAATTAAAGAAATTTTAGCGAATTTGAAGGGAAGTGTATATTTTTCAAAAGTTGATTTTTCCAACGCGTACTTGCAATTGCGGGTAAAATCAGAAGTAATAAAGTTGTTAACCATTACTACTCCCAAGGGGTTATTTGCGTTTTGTAGATTACCTTTTGGATTAAGTGTATCCGCTCCGATATTTCAGAGGACTATGGCTGCGGTTTTTCAAGGGATGGAAGACGTATTCTATTATATGGATGACGTAATGGTAATGGGGCGAACTCCAGAACAGCATGAGCAAAGATTGAAGGAGGTGTTCCGAAGAATTAAAGAAAAGGGTTTGCGGGCCAGTGCCGAAAAAAGCGTGTTAGGAGTGACGGAAGTCGTATATTTGGGACATAAAATAACGGGAAAAGAGGTTAGACCGTTGGATAAAAATATGACGGGAATTGCGAATATGTTGAGGCCGAATAATAAAATTGAGGTTCAGGCTTTTTTGGGAATGGTAAATTACTACCACCGATTTGTAGAGGGATTCGCTCAAATAGCTGCGCCATTATATACTCTGCTAATGAAGGGTGAAAAATTTGATTGGAAGAAGGAACAAGTGATTGCATTTGCAGAATTGAAAGATAGAATTGGAAGGGAGCCCATTCTTATGTGCTTTAATAACGAGTTGGAGGTGGTGTTTGCGGTAGATGCATCGATTAAAGGAGTAGGTGGTGCGTTATTGCATTATATAGATGGGATGGAAAACCCGGTTTTGTTTTTCTCGAGAATATTCAGAGCCGCGGAAACAAGGTATTCCGTGATTGAAAAGGAGGCATTGGCTGTTATATTTGGACTGACGAAATGCCGTGAGTATTTGATTGGGCGTAGGTTCGTGATATATACAGACCACAAGCCGTTAGTACACCTGTTCAAAAAGGATAATAAAGAACTGATGCTGTCGCCTCGGTTACAGAGATGGCTCTTATTTGTGGGAAGTTTTGATGTACAATTGAAATATCGACGGGGAAAGGAAAACTGTTTACCAGATATTCTTTCTAGCTGTGGAGCTGGAGAAGAAGGATATGAAATGGTTCAAGAGTATATAGAGGAGGGAAAGGAGCAAGGACTAATTAGAGCAATGGTCAAAATGGCCAAGGGAGGACCGATAACATGTGAATAACTTATAAGGGCAACTCTAAAGGATCGTGAATTGACTCGAATTAAGGCGTGTATAAAGGGGCGTAAACCTTGGAGCGACGGAGATAAAGTTTTTAAATACATCGAAAAGGAATTAGCTATAGTGGATGACTGTGTGGTACGGGGAAGTCGGGGTATAGTACCATTTAAATTGAGAGATTCGTCTTGGCAATGATTCATGCAGGGCATCAGGGAGTTGAGAAAATGAAACAATGGGGCCGAGAATATGTATGGTGGCCAGGAATGAACAAAGAGATTGAGGACATAAGCCGAAGCTGTGAAATGTGTAACCTGTGGGCAAGTATGCCTCACAGAGACAAGAAAAGTGTATGACCCAAGACTACACAGCCGTGGGAACGTATCCACATCGACTTCTTTGACTCTGAGGGGCAAATATATTTAATTGTGGTAGATGCATACTCCAAATGGGTAGAGTACGAGGCAGTAAGGGGGTTAACTATGCAATGGGCTCGTTTTGGAGTAGCGAGGACGAACGTGTCCGACGGCGGTCTCGCTTTTGTGAGTAGACAATTTGAAAAACTTTACACGGAAACCGGGGTAATACATGTCTTAGCATTTCCTTATCATCCAAGCTCAAACGGACAAGCGGAAAGAATGGTGGCTCTGGTTAAAAGTTGGTTTAGAAATTCGAAATATGGCGGGGGGGGGGAAACTATGGATCGCCGTAGCCTTTTATAATAATAGTCGAAAAGGGGAGGAGTTATCACCGGCGGAAAAATTTTTGGGCCGTAGAACTCGCATTCAATTAGATTTGCTAAAACAAGAGGTACCTCCAGAGATGGATTAGGGGGATAACGCGTGTAAATTCGTGGTGGGGCAAACGGTTTGGGCTAGAATTTTTGGGGGTATCCGAAAAGGGGAATCCGGTGTGGTCATAGAGAACGTGGGTCACAAATTGCATAGGATAAAGTTCCCAGACGGGAGAGAAGGAATAAGACATGGGGATCAGTTAAAGAGAGGAATGGACCCCGGAAGACTTAGGTCAAGTCAAAAGACTTAGGTCCCGTCAGGAGGGAAAAGGGGGAGTCAGCATGTGTGAAGATAGAAAGTCGTATATAGAAGGAAAATAATAATAATTGAGAGAATAAGTGAGCATATAGAATGGGAGACGTAACAATTTTTGGAGAAATAAAAGAGCCTATAGGAATAGGTGGGAAGGAGAGAGAAATTAATGGAATTGGCAAAGAAAACAAATGTTGGTCATCAAAATGGATTCAAATCGTGCTTCGGGGTGGCATAGGAGATGGATCTGTGGAAACTATGAAGTAATACTCGGGATGCGACCTCGTAGGACTGAGCGCCGGAGTAGGGAAGGTGGATGGGGAAGCGAACGAAGTATCATAAGACAAGCGATGGCAGAAAGACGATGTTATCGATATCAAGAGCGTGGTCATATTCAATATAGCTGCCCCTGGAATTGGAGAAGGACGGAGGGGAATCCAACATGGCAACAAGTTCGCCTAAGGGTGGAGGAAGTACCTACGAGGCAGATAGCGGCTGTTTTGGGGCGGCGAACGGAGCTAGTGCAAGGGACAATCAATGATCCCGACCGGTTGAAGGAATTATGGGAACGAGGAGAGAGGAAGAAGAGGAGCAGCGTGAACATCGTCCAACAGCTAGCGTGGAATGGCCCATCGTTGATTAAACAGTTGAAGGCACAAACGAGAGGACGGAGGGAAACGGTATAACAAGAGGAGAGGATATCACGGCAGCCGAGCGTATAGAAACTAGTCAAGGAGTGATGGGAACCGAAGAATGGAGGGATCTAGTGGCCGTTTGGATGTAATGGTAGAGGATTCGTAATGGGGCAACCTCTGAGGAGGGGACGTATGATCATCTTTGCTGAAGGGGGCGTGTTAAGGGAGCAGGCTATTAAGCCTAGCACTAGAGGAAGGTAATGGCGTAATATACGAATAATAAGGAATGGAATAAATAAATATTAAAAAAAAGAAAGTTGATTGACTTGTGATAAATAAAATAATAATAAAAGGGATGATTTTGTAAAAAAAAAATATATAAGCGCGAAAAGAAAACAAACGATTTATTATATTTTTTTTTATGTACGATATATATTTTATTGATTTTTATTGAAGTAAAAATAAAGAAATATTGAAGGAAAAATAAAGAAATATAGAAAAGTAAAAAATATAAATAGTGTTGTTTGATATTTTAAAAATAAAGAAATATAGAAGAAAAAATATAAACAGGGTTAATTGATAAATTAACACTTATATTTTATTGTAATTATATATATTTATTATTTTTATAAATACAGTATTTTTTTTAAAATGTATATTTACGCGAAATTAAATATTTTAATATACTACATAGAAAACTGATAAAATTTAAACAAGGAAAAAAAAAAAATTGTATAATATAATAGTAAATATAAAATTGTAAGATTTTGTATGATTTAATTATAATATTAATAATTAATAATATTTACATTATTAATATAAATTTAATAATAAAAATATAGATTTTTTTTTGTAATATTTATTCCAAAAAAATTACCAAGAATGATAGCTAGGAGCCATTTATTTGCATCGTTTTATGAATATAATTTCATGAGACTTATAGCTGGGTAGGAAAAATAAATTTAAGGGTAAAGGGGTAAATCAAATTATTCGTAAATATTTATACTTATTATTCCTATAAATATCAGATTTACTCATATATTTTAAATTTTTGAGATTTTTAATGATTAAAGGGACTGTTAATATCTTTTCTTACTAATAACACCTTTAATAAAACGTTTATAGTAGATATTTTTACTTATTATTCCTATAAATATTAAATTTACTCATATATTTTAATTTTTTTGAGATTTCTTATGATTAATGGGACTATTAATTTCTATCCTATTTTTTTTTACTAGGAAATCCTTTAATAAAATTTTTATCATTGGTATTTTTGCATATATTGTAATATTTTTTGAGATTTTTAATGATTAATGGGAAGGTTAATCTCTTTTCTTAAACAAAACTCCTTTTATATAATTTTTATAGTAGGCATTTATATTTATTATTTCTATAAATATCAGACTTACTTATATATTTTAATATTTTTGTGATTTCTAATGATTAATGGGACTGTTAATTTCTTTTTTATTTACTAGGAACTCCTTTGATAAAATTTTTATCAATAAAGCTACTTGTGGCTCTTTTGAAAATTAAGAGCTGCAATATAATAACAAAATATTTATGGATTATTGAATTATAAAGTTAAGCTACTGTAATTTGGCTTAAATGAAGATAAAGAGCTGAAATATAATATTTATAAAAGCTTATAAATTGAGCATGAGCATATAAATTTTAAGCTTAAGCGAAATTTAGCGAAGGGTTTACCGACAAAATACCTAATTTTAACTAAAAAAAATAATAATACCTAGACTGACGATGCATTTATGATTATGTATTTGAAAGCCTCGTTGAATGCAAATTAGCTGAACCCGCCATTTTGGTAACCCATATAGTAATTATTCTCATGTTAAAAACTACTATTAAATTGATAACTTGGTTCTTTAAATAGTATGCTTCCGTTTAAAATCTTTAATAATGAAATGGGTAATCAAAATGGCGACCCCAGCTGTTTTCATTGATGTACACTTTTAATGAATGTATCGTCAGTCTAGGTATTATTATATGTCATTGGGTACGATACCATTATTATGTCATTGGTGGCATTATACCACGTTTTATATCAAATTATATATTTTGTCACAATACATTAACCATATGTTATAAAATTTTTTAATTTGTAGATATTTTTCTATAATGGGGAAATGCCATATAAATTTTCCTATAAATCTTGTTGAAAAAATTGATAAACTCTGTGACAATCTTTTAAATTGTATTTTTTCCCAATTTATGATATATGAATTTATTTAATTTTTTAAGTATGCATTGAAAATAAACATGATCCCACATTTCAATGGCATTTTAAACAATTACAGAAAATTTATTGTATAATTTCACAGTTAATGAATTTACAAGAAAGTAAAGTTAATAGATTATTTTATGTTATTTAATTATTTTAGAATATAAACTAAACTTTAATAACAGGAATGAATATTTGTCCAAATTTATTTTATGGCTCAAATTAAATAATTTGAAAAATCTTGAAAAATTTGAAATAAAAATGTGTGAAAATAAAGGATTAGGAATATATTCAACAAATTTAATAAGAGTAAAAATCTATGATTATTGAAATATAAATTAATTTTGTAGACAAATCAAACATTGACTAGAATAAATAAAAATATTATATTAGACAGTTCTTCTGATCATGATTTGTCACTCAGTATGATATCTTTATGTATATTAAATTAAAAAATTAGTTCTTATATACCTAAAAAATTAAGAGAAAAGAAAGATATTTTTTTAAAAAAAATCTATATAAAAATATGATATTTCTGTATTGATGGCCAGACTTAATAGAATACTTTAAAATTATACTTAAACTGATGATACATAATATTGATACTTTTACAATACCTATATATTAAAAATTCAAATATATATTATCTAAATATTTACAAATTGGCATAATTACTAAATATTTTGATTTGATTTTAAATAAAACATTTTATGACACTGAATAAGTTTTCAACTTGAGTAAGGAATGGTAGTGTGTTTATATATGTTAGGATCAATGTGTTATTCTCATTGCCTGATTTTTATGGCAATATGTTAAAGTGGTTGGCAGTATGATTTTGTGTTTATGGGAACGTACACATTGCCAGAGTTAATCATGCAAGATGTTTTTTATAATATTTTAACAAATTTTTCCATATAATTTTTTAAGATTATTATTTTATAAATATAGATTTTTGTGGTTGATAGTATTGAATTGATGTTATATTATTATTTAAATATATTTTTTTGAAATATTTTGATGGTATATTATTTTTTAAATACATATTTTTAAGATGATTTATTTTGATGTTATATTATTTTTAATATATTTTTTGAGTCAATTTTTATATCTTTATTTTTTTCTTACTTTTATAGACATCTTTTGATTTTATATTATCTTATAAATATAATTTTTTAAGATTAATTTTATATTTATTTTATTCATACTAGAGGTCTGCATTGGGCGGGTTTTTCTCACCCACCCAATGTTTTAAAAAAAAATATACCCTCCCGCTTACCCATTTGTCAATAATACCTTACCTGCCCACCTGCCTATTAGTCTAAAATTTTTTACCAGCCTACCCATTATTTAAAAAAATTTTTCCCAAATCCGCTATTATAAAATTTAATTATGTCCATTCTTTCAATTTTTTAAGCATCTATAATAAAAAAAAATTTTAGAATTACACCTCTACAAGAACTTTTTAAGAAATTACTATATTAAGCATAAAAAATATTCAAATTAAATTATGGATTATTTATTTGATCAAATAAACTATTTATAAAAAAAATATATATAAAATTGATATTATATGTAATTCTATTGCAAAAATAATAATGAATCAAGTTCTGGATTCAAACATGTTCTTTGTTCTAAAAACCTTCCAGCAATCCTCGTTCAGAAGAAGCACTAGTTGTAGGAATTGCCAATATTTTTCTTTCTAATCTTGATAGCTTTGGTAAAATCTCTTTCTTGTTCTTTCCACCAAAGTAGTTTTATATAAAAAAAGTTTATTTATAAAAAGTTTTTATGACACCAAAAAAGGACATTTTAATTTTTAATATATAAAAAAGTTCACAGGAACAATTTTTTATTAATATTTACTTAAATGATTTTAAATTTTTTTAACCCACCCGCCCATTGTTTAAATTTCTTAACCCGCTCACCCACCCGCCTATAGTTTAAAAGTTTTTAACCCGCCAGCCCGTTCTTAGAAAATTATTTGCCCGCCCACATAGATGGGCGAGCATGCCGAAACCCCGCCCAATGCAGACCTCTAATTCATACTTTTTTAATATACTTATATTATTGTTCCAACATATTGTTTTAATATGGTTTATTTTGATGTTAAGGGTTTTGCCGATCCACATATTTTTCACCGATCCGATATTGTAAACCGATCCGATATTTATAATGATTTTTAATCACCCCTGTTTGAACCAAATGTAATTAAGAAATCAATTTTTTTTAAGAAAAAATCGAATTATGAATTTAATTTAATTTTTTTATTTCTACAATTAAGACTATAATAAAAATATATATATTTAATAATATATCCAATTTATGTTGGTATAAATTATAAAATTGTAATATTTAATATATAAAATTATAATATATTAGATTTTTTAATAAATATGAGAGCCTCCAGAATTTCTGGGAATAAGCTTCTACGATATGGACTATCTATATCTCCTGCCATACTGAAGGCAGACTCAGATGATTCCGCAGATAACGCATTTTGCAAAATTATCTTTGTCTTTTGTAAAATATTTCCATAATTCAGATACCATATTTAAAAAAATTCTTTTATTTAAAGTATAAATAAAAAAATTGGCGTTATTTAAAAAGATTTAAAATAAATAAAACTTTGGATGTTCCTTTCTATTTATATAAAAAAAAACTTTCAAAATACCATAAATCTATTTTAAAAAAGAAATAAAATTTTAAAAACTATTTAGAAAATATTATAATAATGTAAAATAAATATACATAACATAAAATAAAATAACAAAAAAAAGTAAAAAGATCGGATCAGGTTTTTACAGGTATCGACCCGATCCGATATTTTCGAAAAACGTTAAATATAGGTACCGATCCAATATTTAATATCGGCACAGCCCTAGATGTTATATTATTTTAAATATATTTGTTAATTTGGTTTCTTTCATATATGTTTTTTAATAATGTATTTTTTCTAGTGCTATAAACATTTCTAAAGAAATTCGAATGCATTCAACGTTCATTGGCAAAAATCGATCTGTTCACATTATAAAAATAGAAACGCGTTCACATTCATTCAAAACTTTATGAATAAATTTTTTTAAATATTTAATTTAAAATAAATAAATATCTTAATTAATAGTTTTAAGTGAATTTAAAAATAATATTTTATTTATTAAAAAAAAATTTCTTATTAATTTTTATATATTAAAATTTAATTGTTTATAAAATATAAAAATAATACTTAAAATTTGTTCAACTATTTATATATAAAACACTTGAAAAATATTAAAAATAATATCGAAATTTCAAATAATCATATAAAAATAAATAAATTTTCTATAAGATATTAACTATTTTATATCTATGTATGTAAATATAATATTTAATTATTTTTACTTTATAAATCTATTATAATAATTATAATTATTTAATAAGTCTATAAAATATATCAATCGGAAATAAATATTACAATCAATCTCTTTAAATTATAACGTAAAGATTTAAAAACATATACTTTTTGATCACATTTTACATTTGTTAAGGATAGAAGGAATAGGTTCTAAATCGAATCGCTAAAATAAAAATCGTTAAAAATTGAGAATCTCGCTTATATCTGAGAAAATTTATCAAGTAAACTTGAAAGAGCGCAATAATAATATTTCCTCTATTTTTAATAAATTTATAAAAATTCATTTTAAATACAAATGTTTACTTTCAAGGAGATATAAGCGAGATTCCTAATTTTTATCGATTTTATTATTAACGATTTAGAATGGGAACCGATAGAATTAGTTTATTAAATACATGGTGTTACTGTAAAGTATTTATTTTATTTTGGCCATGGTATTCAGTATCATATAACGAAATAAAAACTTCCATGCTTACGATAATCTATAAATTAAAATAATATACAAATTGGACAGAAATAGTGTTATCAAATATGATAAAGGAAACAGCTGATTAAAAATAACCCTTTATATCTTAAAAAATTCATATTAATATTAAATTAATATTTATTTTCAAAATAAAAAGAAGAAGATAGATAAAAAAAAATTTTCTTTGCAATAACTTTTTTTAAAAAATACATTAGAAATTTTTTTAAATTTAAAGCATTATTCCAAAATTTTAATTTTACTATTAGTTATCTAAAGATTGAATGAAAATTCGAATTTAGGGTTTTCATTTCATTTTTATTTTTAAATTTTTTTATGATCAATATGAGACACCAAAATTAAAAAAAAATCATTTATTATTTATTTATTCTATGTAAATAAAATATACAAATCTATTATAAATTCAATCATTTATAGGAATTCATTGAATTCCATCTTCAATAAATTTTGTGGTGTGAGAATAAAAATTTGAAAAATTGTATGTAAAATAATTGCTCAAAATACTCGTAAATATAGCAATAACTTCTATTCCGTTAATTGGTTTAGGAGAATTCGATCGGTATTGATTTTTAATAACTCTGAAAATCGATCGGATTTTATTGCGGCGAATAGGGTGGTAAAAATATGATATTTGGATAATTATCGTCGCTCGATGACTTGGAGCATTATCCATTCTAAGCAATGACGATGGTAGAGGTATGTTTTGAATTTTATGACAATGAAAGCCTCATCTATAATTGTGAATGTTTTCAATCAACTTATTCCTATTGTGCATAGGACTGATATATTTTTTCCTTTGGAGGGAGGTAACTTAACAGATAGCCTTTTTCCTAAGGGTGCCCACCCATGCGAAATACTGTGGGTATTAAGCCCTGTCTCGTCCAGGAAGAATACATCAAAGGAAATATTTTTCATCTTGTCACAATATTCTTTTCGAATTTGAATTACATATGGAGAGTTTCTCCTATCGGGTTCTTTTCTAACCCTTATCCGGCTCCAACCCATTAATTTAATACATTTTGATATAGCTGACTTGCTCAACCTTAGATATGGTGGTAAATTTTCTATTGTTTTTAATGGTATAGACGTTATTCTTACCAAACAATTCAGCTATATTCGACTGAAGTTCTTTGTTATCTTTCAGAGATAAAGGGTCGTCGTAATATTCAACAGAACGAATGTATAAATTTAGATCATGGACAATTGTCCTTGCATTGGGATGTTCATCAATTGGTTTGCTCAGCCATATTTCAGCAAATTCCATTTTTTCATCGCTCCAATTACCATTTTTTTCTAAAACGAATAAGATCAAAATTTGGTTGCTCGTGAATATTCGAATATTGACATCGGTTTGTAATGTCAGTTAGACATCTAAGGGATTTGATGGGATAGGTGAATAACTTTGGTATCTATTTGTTATTTCAGATAATTCTTCGAGAGAATATAGTTTCATTAGGTGTATCTAAAATTATGTACATAAAGTTAGTAAATAATCGAATATTATATTAACAACTGAAACTGGAGATAGATTCCAAATACTAGCGAAAG